ATGAAGAGAAAACCCTGCCCTATTTTTTTTATATCCATGATGCAAATTTTTTTTGCATACTACCTCAAGAAAACGAAAGACAACGTATTCATGAAAAAAAATCTTTGCTTGCTATTTAATGTACCTCTGTTTCATAAACATCACTATTGTGGAACTCACATGTATTTTCGAAGGAAATAGTCAGTGAAAGTTTCAAGTCGAAGTTTTCTTCCATTATAGACCTCAACAACCATGAGTAACAGGTATTAGATTCCTTTTCTAGAGTTTCTTACCCGGCAAAACTTTTAAAGATTAAAATTGATTAAAACTTCAAAATCCTATGGGGTTAATCGGAATTGGGAATTCATTTTTTGTGAAACAAAATCAAGATTTTAATCAATGAAAATTAAGATTACAATATATATCAATTGATTAGAAAGTTCTAATAATCGATTGATACTGATTGTAGTTTTGATTGTAATTGATTATAACCTTGATTTTATTGCACAAAAATCATATTATCAATTTTGATTATTCTCATAAGATTTTGGAATTTTAATCGATTTTAATTGCTCGAATTTTTTCCTTGATTATTACCTGTTGATCTGCTTGAATTTATTATTATCTATTAATCAGTTTTAACCTATTTTCACTTCTTAATCGATTTTAATCATACCCACCGAAGATGAGCGTTTTTCTCGAAATCCGAACACGGTACCCGAATTTTTCATGACTTCTCTTAATTGCTCGTGTTTAGAAACTATGAAGTTGTGGATGAGCTAAACTCCAGTAAATGAAATAAATTTGGAACTATTACATAAATTGTTTCAAAATGAGATCATGTAATTACATCAGATATCGATTCAACCGATGAATAATAAAAAAATGGGTTTAAATTAATTAAAATACTTTAATTAAATGTATTCATATTTTTACTTCTTTGTATATAAAATGCTTTTGCAATTTGTATCCTCACAACTTTACTCATCTTATATATATTTCCTACTTATGAAAATAATTAGTTTCACTTCATTAGTGCTTTTTGGAATCGGTTAAACCTGACTCATGTTTCGGATGAATGCAGTATTAATAAAAAAACAATTCTAACCGGATTATTTTGTCTAAATTATGCTTTGGAAAGGACATTAATATTGTTCATAATTATGTATCGTAGTCTGGATAGTAATTAAAATTCTGCCCAAAATGTCTCGCATTAGTTCAAATCATTTGATTCTGTATAGACCTTACTGATATTCTTCAACACCTTCAAAATCGATTAAACAGATTAGAAATGATTAACAAAAAAAATACAGTTATCATCCTCAAAATAGTTGAGAACCAAATGTAAATCACAGAATTGAGTTTTTCTTTATTGAGATTTGAAGCGATTGAACACATCAAAATCGACTAACAATCGAAATAAAATTACTACCATAACGGAAGCTAATTATCCAATAAAAATCACTGAATCAGGTTTTTTTTTATTGAGATTTTAATCAATTAAAAAGATTAAAATCGATTATCGTTGAAAATCAGATTACAGGCAAGATAAGCAAGAATAATCAGTGCAGCAGATTATTTTTCTAATCGATTTGTAAATTTTAATCAATTTCAATCGGATTTTCTGTGAAAAATAAAAGGTCCGTTCAAAAACTGAGATTTTGACACCAATAATTAAAAATAATCATGATTTTCTCATGAATATTTTTCACTGAGTTACAAGTGAAAAGAGGAGCTGAACGATATCAACAACAAGACTTCGACTGTTCTAGAACATTTCAAACCTTTTCTCGAACTATTACTGATTCTAACGTACTTTTTTTTGTATTTTAAATAGTACGGATTTCGATATTTGTTCATATAAAAATTTCTATTGAAGATGTAAACAATGACGGACAACGATAGATTGGTTTGTCAATCGTCAACAGATCAACGTAAAGCGTTTCACTTGATTAATCCATAATTTTGGAAAGTAAACTATATCAGAGTTTGTGCGCTTATCGAGATAAATCTAATAGAGCGTCGAGCAACGCTGATCTGAATATAATGAATCTTTACAACATACTTATTCGTCAATTAATTCAATGTTCAGAATAGTAACAATTTTAATGTAACTTAAACGGAAATGGCAAAAGGAAAAAAATGAGCGAATAGGTATTAGTTGAACAAAAAATACAAAAGAGCACCAATATATAAAAAGAAAAAGAAAACTCGATTTGGAATGCAGAAACAACTAAAATATGTCGACTATCTGAACATCAATTACCTTGATAAACATTTATAGTCTTCTGAAGATATTTTACCTAGTCTACATTCTATTAATACAATGAGACTAAAGAATATTTGAGTTCCACACTTCAATCCTAAAGAAGCTGTGCTAACAAGCCTTTTTTTAATTTATACTTGCTCTTTGTGAT